ATCTAAGGGACTGTCAGCGAGTGGCTGGCAGTGGTCCGCGTCACTGATTGGTAGAGACATGATGTATTCTACCAATAGGATTCTTCTATATGTAGTCTTGGTGTGCCCACACACCAAGTCAGGAAACCTTGAACTCTAACCGGTTAATTACGGTTAGAGTTTTGTGTAACCCCGTTACACAAACAGTCCGAATTTCGGCCATCATCGGATCTGAAGGAATTTACCGGGAAGGATATTGACGAAGATCGCGCTAGGACGTGGATCGGCAAGGTAAAATCGGTGTTCCAGAGAGATCAAGCAACAGAAGAGGAGAAATACCCCACGTTCTCGGATCTGATGGTGGGACCAGCCAAGAACTGGCACCGACAGTTAAGTCGCACTACCAAGACCAAATGGGCGGATTTACTTAAAAGTTTCCAGACCCAATACTATGTCAGTGTTACCATGCCCGGAAAAGATCCGAGGAGACCCCGTTTGATTATATCTATCGACTGAACGTGGCCGCTCTACGAGCCAAACTCAAGATCAAGGACGGAAATCCAAAGGCGCGCCGGGAACACGTCGATCACTACATCGAGACGTTGGGTGATCCCGATTTGGCAGACCGCCTAACGCTATTACGGTTGGCTGACGTCGACAAACTTGAGGAAGTTCTCCGCGCGCGGGAACGATCCAAGAGCCGGCAACGCAGATCCGCGTTCGGGTCGAAATTTCGACAGAAGGCCCCGGCCAGCGCTCCGATAGCGCCAGCCCGTGGTACGCGCGATCTAAGCGCAAGATCGGAGCTCCGAGTCCGAAGGGGTCTCAGGATCTGACGGATCCGACTCGGAAAGCGAACCGCGAAGGATTTTCCTCGCCGCGGCAGAAGAGAAGTTGAGCAGTACGCGGGGAGCCGCGCAGAACTAGGATCCAGCGCGATCCCAAACGAAAGCGTCCGAGGGGAGGCGGATCCCCGATCGTCGCAACCCGGGAGACAGAGTTCACCAAGATCGAGACCGCTGTTCTCATTGCGGGTCTAGGAAACACACGGATCTGGATTGCTGGAAGCGTCTGACATGTGAAAAGTGTGGGAAGAGAGGCCACCCGACGGATCGCTGTCTGTACGCGTGTCGTGGATGTGGTGACGTCCATGAGGCAGGAGAATGCCCCATGGAAAAATTCTACAACCAGATCCGCAAATGGTATGATCCGACCCGACACGCCGGACTGTTCCCTGAACAAGTTGCGAAGATTTTAAACTAGGACGCTCGCCGGGGTAGAATCCGGTACGAGGCGAGCGTTCTAGATATTGCATCTACGCCTATGTGAAAAAGGCGACAACAGATCGAGGTAGAAAGGAGTCGGATCTACGCGGAAATACATGTAATTTACATTCGTACACCGCCAAGATCGCGAGCCTTCCTCAGATCAGCGAATTCAGCAGATCTAACACGGAAGTGACCTTAGATCTCAAAAGAGGAGAATCCCGGGGATATTGAAAACGTCATGCACCGGGAAAATGGTTCCGACAAGCCAAGATCTCAGGCAGGATCACTCAAGAGAGAGTGATCCTGCTCTTAGATACTGGTGCTGAAGTATCAATTTTGGATACCACCTTTGCTCGTAAGGTGGGATGCAATTTTGACACTAGTCAGAGACAGGAATGTGTGGGAATCGGTGACAACGTATATACTACAGAAGGAAGAACCAGGATCAAGATCACGTTAGCGGGGTATCTAGTGTATTTTTTTCGACATCTGTATCGGAGATCTCTCAGGACAGAACGCGATCCTCGGCGTGGATTTCATGGTCCCAGTCGGTGTTCGGATTGACCTCGCCGACGGATCGATGCATCTACCTGACAAAGTGGGAATACCGCTTAATTGTCGTAAGCGATTGTATGGCGAAAAGGTGAGATCAGTGATTCTCGAACGATCTCTACGAATCACGGTTGGTCGGTCGGAAGAAACAGCGGCGAGGATAAAATTGTTGGCCACAGAGAAATTGTGGGTGACCAGAGGAGAACGATGGGTGCCGACAGTGACGGAAGGCCCGGTCGGATCCGCTACCTGGTGATCTCGAACATTGGAGAAGAGATCCTACGGCTGGATCACTGTCTGGACGTTGGTATGATACTGGATCAGGACAAAGCGCCCCGATCCCCAGGATTCGTGTCCGTCGGGTCACGTCGCTACCGGGAATGGCAGAATTAGGCATTGGAATCGACGGTAGATACAAGATCAGAGCCTCCAGAACTTATGGAGGCCCCTGCGGAGCCGGCAGTACCACGACCATCATATCCCACGCCACGATCGATACTTCACCCGGCAGAAACTGGCGATATCGACGGAGATCGAACGTTGATATCGACCATAGAATCTCGACCGAGGGCGGGAATTGCCCACGCAGCCCAGATCGAGGCAGAATTCCCCGATCCGGAAGGGGATCATGCACCTACGCCACCGGAAACCCCCAACGTCGATCGATACCGGAACGGCGATGCTGGAGGCGGCAGGATAAGTGAGAGCATGCCGGATCAGACTACCGATCGGGCGGACACCAAGGATATCCAGACGGAAAATCGGACTGGCACCAAGAATATCGAGCGGAAAACGGGAAATCCGAACTGTCAAACCCAGATCAAACTCGATCCCGGCAAAGGATTCGACGTAATCCCTGATTCATCGGACCGAGGACGTCGAACTACGAGATCCGCTCGCGGAAGGAGCGCCGACCACCCCGCAGGATGCCGAGGACGATGATGAGATATATTACCATGAGAGTGGTGATCTCCCGGCTGAAGATCTCGAGGGAAACCTCGCAGTCCTCCCAGAGATCCCGATCTCGACGATCGCGAAGGTCAGCATCGAGGACGTGCAGATGGGAGACTCCGGATCGGCCACACCCGAGGAGATCGAGAAGCTCCGGCAGATCATTTGGAAGAAACGACACCTCCTCATCGGCAAAGGGAACGCCTTACCTCCGGCGGCCAAGGGCGCCGTGCGTGACATCAATGTCGTAAATGCGAAACCGGTCGCACTGCGAACCCGGAAAGTGCCTACGCGATTTCGAGAAAAGTCGCAGGCCTGATCAAGGGCCTCCTGGCAGCCGAGATCATCCGACCCTTGACATCACCATGGGTCTCACCGATCGGGATTGTTCGCAAGAGTAACGGTGTGGATATCAGGTTGTGTATCGACTACAAACTGGTAAACAGCCTCACGAGGCTGATGGTATATCCCATGCCCCTCATCAGCAATCTGTTAGAAGACCTCGATAAGGCATTATGGTATTGCTCACTGGATATGGCCAGCGGTTTCTGTGTCGTGCCCATGACGGATCGGGCTCGCGAGATCTCAGCAGTCATCACCCCGTTTGGATTGTTCGAATGGAGCCGTATGCCTTTTGGCCTAAAAATTCCCCGTAGATTTATCAACGCCTCGTAGACAACGCGCTGTATGGATTTCTGAAAATCACGCGATCAGGCGACGCCGGGGCTACAACGGACGTGTTCCAGACAGGGATCGCGGACAATCCTGATCGTGGGTCAGTGTTGGGACGGAGATCATACATTGACGACATCATCATCGCGGCAGAATCGTGGGATCAAATGTGCCAAAGGGTGGAAGATTTGTTGGAGGCTTGTGAAAAGTGGAATATATCAATCAGTGTGGCAAAGAGCTTCTGGGCATGGATAATGTAGGATATCTGGGACACCGAGTGTCGATCGGAGATCTGGAGGGGAAACCAAAAGATCTGAAATCCCTAACCGATCTGCCATTCCCCGGATCACTTCGGTCTATGCAGTCATTTCTGGGTAGTTTGAATCCGATTCATTGAGACTACGCTATCTACGCTTCGGTGCTTTATGAACTACGCGAGGTGGAGTTTGTAGAACTGGAGAAACGATCGGAGCTGAGGAAGATCATGGACCAGAACGACCCGATTGCTCGAGATCACGGCCCACCGGAACTGCAGTTGGCGGAACCATTGGATGAGAGGTGGATCAGGGCGCATAGCGCCTTCACCACCCTGAAAACCAAGATCGCGACTACCCCCAATTCTCCGCCACTTCGACGAGACGAGAACTCCGGTAGTTATCGTATATGCCAGCGATTGGGCAATATCAGCTTCGTTGACGCAAGAACACGACGGGATCTACCATCCAGTTGCGTTCGCCAGTCGCACCTTGAAGACGAATGAATTGAATTACAATGTGACCGAAAAGGAGGTGTTGGCACTGCTGAGGATCTTGGATCTCTACTACAATTTACTGGTAGGACGCGAGATCCGGGTCATAACGAGGCATTCCACGTTAGCCTGGCTGTTCAAGTCGACAGGATTACAGGGTCGCCTAGGGCAATATTCAGCCCTCCTGGTCCCGTGGACTCTCGAGATCACGAAGTGCACGAAAGGCGAGGACGAGATACTGGGAGCGATCGCTTCCAGCATCACGCCGAGGGCGAAGATCGACGACACTCTGACCGACATCGCTCCTCGGAAGGAACCTAAACGCCGGATCCAAGCGCCGATACCCACCGTAGATCGGTAAGAGGAATTATGGGTGATCAGTTTTGACGGATTCGCTCGAGTGAAGCGTGGCGGGGACGCGTTCAGTGCGATCGTGTGGAGTCTACCCGGATGGGAGGTAGTCAAGGCTAGATCGGGCTATCTCGAGAGCCTCGCTGTGAACGAAGAAGAATATAACGGCTTGATCCAGGGACTCGACATGCTAGAGGACCTAGATCACAAAACAAACGCCTAATGGTCTGAGGTGATTCCAGCTTAGTGATCCGACAAGTGCGGGGCGAGATCGACTGCAAAGCACCCGGGGCTGACACTATTGAAGCGGAAGGCCCTCGACCGCCTAAGGAAATGGAGTGATCATGAGCTAGTGCATTGAAGAGAGACGGGAATGGGAGTGCCGACAGTCTGGCGAGTGCCGCTTTGTAACGGCAAGGCGGGTTCGAGGTCCAAGAAGGCCCCGGGTACCAGGATCTGGTCACTCTGAACCGGTTAGACGAAATCGTGATTCCCAGGACCGAGAACCCAGTGGTGCGAGTTACAGTGGTTACCACCTTAGCCGCTCGAGTAAAATCACCGGCGGGTGTCATGCAAGAGGATCGGATCCGGGAGATGCGGGTCGATCGGATCAAGCAGGCCCAGGAGGAGGAAGTCTGGATCACAGGCATGAAGAAGTATCTGAGTGGCTCGATCGCAGATCTCACGCAAGCAGAAGCAAGATCGTACGGCAAGATCGCGGCCGACTATGAGGTGGATGAGCAGGATCTACTCTTCTATTGTCCACCCACTCCGAGATCGGGGGACGATCGCGATCTGTTGCTGAGACTGGTAGTCCCCGAAACGTTGCAATCTGACGTCCTACACCACTATCACAATACGCTGGAAGGAGGACATCAGGGAGTGGGGCGTACCTACCAGCGGATCAGGGGTCATTTCCACTGGAGAGGATTATATCGGAGCGTTCAGCGATATATGGAGGATGTGAAACGTGAAAAGGAAAACCGGTGATCCGGGGTGAATCACCAGGGAACTTGTAGGCGACGTACCCGTTCCAGATCATTGCGATGGATCACATACCGTCACTGCTCAGATCCCACAAGGGAAAAACTGAGCTATTGATCTGGGTCGATCTGTTCACAGGATATGTGATCGCGAAAGCCAGCTCGTCCCGATCGGCCCAGACGGTTGCGGAATCGTACGAAGAGTGTGTATTTCGGCGATTAGGTGCCAGTGAGATGATCCGGCATGATCGAGAACCCGGCTTCATGTCCGACTTCTTCCGGGCGTTTAACAAGATCCTGAGAAAACGGCAGCGAGCGACGATGGCATATCAGCCGCAAGCCAACGGGACCGCAGAAAGAATGGTACAGACGGCGACCAGGGCACTCAAGATGTACGTTCGCGATCTGGGTCAGAAGGATTGGGATGAGTATGCTGAGCGACTTACCTTCGCGATCAACACAGCCCATGATCGGATCCGAGGGGATACCCCTCATTATCTGATGTATGGGTAGGATCCGGGATCGACGTTGGAGGCTACACTGCCAGTCGGATGCACCAGACGGCGCGATCGAGACGCGCGGCGGTGGCGTTATCGGGTCTAACGGCATTATCAGCAGTCGCGGGAGCAAGTCAACACCATATTGAGAGAAACCATCGCGGATCAGGCCAGTCGACATAATGAGGACGTCGGATCACACCAGATCGAAGCCGGATCTCGAGTTTTGTTATACCTAGACCGGGTGAAGGAAGGATACGCGCGGAAACTGGCTCACCTGTAGCATGGGCTATTCAGGGTGACGGAAAAGATCAACGAATTCAGCATCAAGCTCGAGATCGCGGGTACTGGGTACCAGATCTTCCCAGTGGTTCACGAGTCGAAGCTGAAATTGGTCATGGATTTTCCGGATCGGCCGCGAGTGGACCTCACGGTGGACGAATCAGGTCGCCTCGATTTCGATGAAATCCTGCTTCCGGGGAACAGCTGACTCCCAGATCTCGGATGTACGGAGTGGAAAGAAGACGCGATTTGGTCGGATCAACCGAGAATTTCTGGTGCATTGGGCAGGATATGACGAGCCGACCTGGGTCGACGAAGCCGATCTCAACTGCGGGGCAATACTGAACGCCTTCCTGCGAGATCAAGCTAATCCAAACCGCTTCAATGTGATGCAATCACATGAGGAGATGTAAGGAGGACAGGGGAGATTATCTGATCGTCTCGACCCCGAGGAAGTGCAAGTCGGACGAGACTGAGTTCAGAAGTTCATGTTGTATATGTGCGTATAGGAAACGTTGATCATCACAGGGGATCGCGGAAGGCGTGGTGAGTCTGAAGAGAGATCACGTAGGAGGAACGATAAAACGAGCAAACAAGCAGAGATGTGGCTGAAATTAAGAATTACGACACAGAGGAATCGCGATCACGGGGTGGTGAGCGGAGATCACGGAAGTTCCCCCGAGACGAAGTCAGATCTACGATCAAGGAGCCGCTGGAGGGTTGAAATTGTTCGCGAGACGTGGGATCTGCAGCGATGGGTGAGCGGTACCGGGATCGTGGTAATGGTTCCTCCAGGGATCCGCCTGATCGCACTCGAACAGGGCCATGATCAGGTCGGTCGGCTCGGGGAGATTCGCGGCCGGCTGTGCGAGATTGGCCGCCCTGGAAACCGATCCGGGATACCAGCGTACCCAATCCCGGGTTGTCGGCAAGTGGAGAAAATAGGGATCCAGCAGGACGTCGATATCAGCCCACTGACGCCTCATCATTCGGAGGCACTCTCCCAACAGTTTCCGCCAGCTTTCTTCAACGCGGATACGTCGCTGACGCAGATCCTGGTGGTAGATGAAGAGATCAGGGTCCGCGGTGGTCATCGCTTTCGTGATATCGAGGTAATGGTCAATTCCCAATACGCGATCATGTGATCCTCCTCCAGGGCAGCATACGATACGGCGATCCGCCATAGAGGGGTGCCAGCACGCCGGTGGAGGTGGTGATCGAAAGTCAGCGGAGTGGGGCGAATCTGTCGAAGCAAGCGCCACGGCTCCGTAGCCATCAGAGCCAACACGTTGGCACCAGTGATCAGTTCAGAACGGTAACCAGTCACGGGTATGGGCGCCCGAACAAAGGGGGTCCGAACAGGGAACAGGAAGCCGGGGCCACCTTTTGGCCAAAGTAGCCTTGATCATGGTGACGATCGGCACGATTTCCACGACAGCTGGATCCCACAGGGTGATCTCGGTTGCCGTGATATCTTGACCGTGGAATATCGGGGAACACTCGCCTCGGC